CAGTTATCTAATACAAGCAGACAAACACTTATACACAAACTTTACAGAAGTACTGATCAAAGCATAGGATGTGGGGGCTGGGGATTTAGCTCAGTGGTTTCACCGCCTGCTGCACAAGCGCAAGGACCTGAGTTCAATCCCCAGTACCCTCCCAAAAAAGCATAGGATGTGGTCATTCATTCTTTCACTTGGACTTGTGCACTCTCGCTATCAGATTCATTCTGTCTGTCTGTCTCTCTCTCTCCCCTCTTACTGACTTCTTTTACTTTTTGTTCATTCTGTAATGCCTGCCAGCTTCCAATATATGCTATAACTTGCTCATTAGCATATTTATATTTCACCTGGTCCCGTTATGTTTCACAAGCCCAGAGACGCTCAGCTGTTCTGACCAATATTTAGAATAATGCTTGACCCAGCATAAGTGCTCAATTAACATTTGTTGAACAAATAAATAAAATCCACCTTTCCTAATTAATTTTTTAAGAGAGAAAGAAGTAGCAAAATTACAACTTCACAAATGTCATATGCCAGGACATTATGAAAAGTACTTTAAGTCACTTGGCGAAAAAAATAATGAAGTCAGAGAATGTTTTAAATTGATATAAGTGAAAACAGTATCTCAAATTTATTTCATATAAATAAGTAAATAAAAGGAAGCCCAAAGCCATAAATATTTATAAAAAGAAAATTGATGAGTAATAATGTGCTATTATTCCTTTATAAGCAGCTAGAATAAACATTTAATAAAACATTCATTTAAGTATTAAAACAGAAAAAAAATCCAATCCAAAGAAAGTAAAAGGGAAAAAATAATAAAGAGCCAAAACTAGCACAAAGAAAACAAACATACAAGATTGAGAATCAACAACTATAAAGTCAGTGTTTGGAAAGATAATAAAATTAATGTGACTCTTAGGAGGATGAAAAGTCACAGAGAACCAATATCAATGAAAAAGAAACATAAATGCATATAAATGGTCATGTACCATAGGTAAGCAGTTCATTCCAGGGCAAGTAAGACTTAATACTTTTAAAAACATCTAATATAATTAATCTCATTAATAAACTACAGGAGAGGGCCGGGGATTTAGCTCAGTGGTTCCAGCGCCTGCCGCGTAAGCGCAAGGTCCTGAGTTCGATCCCTGGTACCAAAAAAAAAATAAAAATAAAAATAAACTACAGGAGAAAAAGTGTCTCATTACATCAGTAAGTATAAAAAAGCATTTGATAATAGTCACCATTCAATTATGACAATTACATGCAAAACAGAAGCAGAAGGGAATTTCCTAAGCCTGAACCACAGCATCCACCAAAGCCCACAGCCCACATGGCTCTGAGGGGTGGACCGCTGCCCTCCATCAGCTTGACTTGGACATCACACTAGAAGGTCGGTCAGTGCAGCGAAGGAAGCAGGAGAAGGTGGGGAGATTATAAAAGAAGGAACAAAACTGTCATTATTCACAAAGAATGAGAAAGGCAGAAAATACAGGCGTATTTACATGTAAGTTTTCTAATGCACTGGAAACTTCAACAAGGTCACTAGTGAAAAATACAGCTGTCCTAGCCAAGCATTCTCAGCACTTCCCAATCCCTCCTCTGAGCCCAAAGTTATTCTGATACCAAAACCAGACAAGAACCAGATGCAAAAACACTACCAACTCAATCCAGCAATGTGAAAAGGATTTGCTACACCAAATATGATTCAACCCAGAATTTCTGGGTTGATTGAACTTATGAAAATCAGTAAATGTAATCCATCCTAAGAAAAGACATCATCATCTCAATACAAATGCATTCGACAATCCTAATGCCATTTCATGGCTTAAAAAGTCATGTTAGGTACATGTACCAACTCCCTACAATGAATGTAGTCATTGTGTAGACCATGGGCTGCAGCCTTGAAAATCATTAGTCAAATAAATCTTTCCTCCTTTAAGTTGCTTCCTCGGGTAACATACAGCATAACAAACCAGAGAATGCAATTATTCATTCCCTAACTCCTTATGCATATTGGAGCTTTGCTCTATCAAAAAGTAAAATTATTAAATCTGTAGTTGTCAAGACAATGTGGCATTGGCACATACACACAAAGAGGCCAAAGGAGAAATATACAGCCTAAAACAGACCCGTGCATTTATCAACTCTTAGTATCTGAAATACTCAATGCTTGCTGTTTAAAGCCACTACATTTTGGTGTAATTTGTTACATAGTACTGATAAATCACTAACAAACTCCTGCTTATGAGTATTTTCAGATTTATTCTACTTTTAGGACAGAGGAGAAATGACCTTTCCCAACTCCTGCAAGTTGGGTAGATTTTATTTCTAAAATGTGATCAGAAACTATGCATTGAAAACTAAAGTTGAATGGGAATGGGGTTAAGAAGAAGTAAAGAGCTGTGAACAGAGACAATAAAAAATTCCTTCAGAATGTTTTGCTGTTTTACAGGAAGAGAAGAAGAAATGACTTAAACTCATACATAGAATGTTAAGCAAAACTATCTACAAAAGAATGCCTGCTATGTTTGTGTTTTTCTTTTAAAAAGGGTAAAATGAGGCTTGTGATAAGGAAGGCATGAGCAATAAGTTGCAAGGCAGGAGCAGTGTTCCCTGTCCTGAGAGATGATTAGCAGGCTATTTGCCTTGTGTTATGATTTCTTGTATTGCTTGTCAACCAATATGTGTATTTGACATACCTCTCTCCACATGTGTTATAGTTCAAAGTGATGAAACTGTGTAGGGATAGACAAGATCCCTTATGCTAAAAGACAACAGATGAAATTTACTATGGAATCATGAAAAGTGTTCGAGAAGGAATACTCTGAATTATAAGCAGATCAAACTGGAAGAGAAACTCCAAAAGGCTCCACATACTAAGTCTGGCTGGTAGGTGAATATTTGTGCCTTTCTAGTTTAATTAAAATCGGAATGTGTAAATCACATGAAAGCTTAAGAATCAGACGAGACCATAAGCCTTTTTTCTCTCTTTGAACTCCACAGAACTTAGTTTTTAGTTTGTGTGTTTGGCTCTCGGAATAAAGAATGCGGTGCAGTATCTGCCAAGAGAATTCTTTTTTTATTTTTTCTGGAGATGTTTCTGTGTTATTTCCAAGACCTCCCGAAGTTACTGCACTTCACCAGCACTGGCCATCTGGTCCCATTATGTGATCTAAGTGTGAAGAGATGCCCCACGCTGCAGAAGAGGGAAAGCGCCTCTGCCACCCACAGCGACACCCCGAGCCACAGGGAGTTGACCTGGACCGTGTGCTCCCAATACGCCCACTATTTCAGCTGTTCTCCACGCAACCAGCAGCCCAGGTTCCATCACAAGCGACTTACTGGACTCTCCAGAGGAGATGGCCACCTCCTTCACCAGAGAACACAGGGCCACCACATGCCAGCACGATCAATGACATTTGCAGCCCACAAGCCAAAGGCACTAACAATCAGCTAACACATGTTCATAATCTAAAACTTCAAATCCATTCTACTCTCCCAAACTACATACCAAGGACACGTGGGTGGGAAAGACGATTTTATGATTGTAGGCCAAAGCCAACAAAAAGAGCTAGAAACACCTCAAAACTCATCCTAACTTGCACTAGATGTCAAATAATTTCAAAAATACCATCAGCAAGACATTTCAAGTAGCTACCAAAGCTCATTTATCATTCTCTGTCTGCTAAACAAGTCAAGATTTGTTTTTAATCAAAAAGGAAGCAAAGGTACACTGATACTTTACCATGATACCCCTTATCCAACTCTGTGTGTGTGTGTGTGTGTGTGTGTGTGTGGTATGAATTCCTAATCTCTGGTTTACCTGTTTAGTTAACCTCTGCTATTTTCTGGGATTCATTCCAAGACAACTGAATGTATTGCTAAAATTGGCATCTCTGCTATTGCACTTAATTTTACAAAGGCTCAGAAGTGGTCTGAAACCACTTCCTTAACATTCTGCACACAACCTTATTCTAAAAAGTAATAAACACTTTTCAAGAGCAGTAATTGACAGGAAAGATACAATTTTGTTTTCCTCCAAAACAATCTTTATTTCCTCCAAATGTACAATCCTGGAACAGAATGTATGCTATGTATGACAAAGCCTCATGTTTTTGTGGCAGTGTTGCAAATAATGGTTTGAAGAGAAGCATGATTCCTTAAGTCAGCATCGGAAGTGATCTAAATAGTCATAGGTAAAACTACACATTTCCGAGCTCTTTACAAATATTTTGCTTTCACCACAACATTTGGCTGGAAACTCCTGAAAGCATAATAAATGCACAGAAGCCAAATGCCAAGTTCAACACAGACTTTTTTGATTTCGTGAGATTAGCAATATTCGTAACAGGTTAAAGAGTTAAAGAATCGTATATTTCTCAACTGTGACACACGTTAGGTATTATTTTTAAAGGCCCGCAGAAACTATCCTAATCCAACTGGTTCACTTGAAACATGAGGAAACTGGGGCCCACGGGAGTTCAGGTAACCATAGCGACGCTGACAACGTATAGGAAATGGTACCCAAACTCAGTGTTTGTGATTCCGAGTGAGTGCACAGGTCTGAAAACACCTGCCAGAGTGAGCTCCGACCCCGCGGCGTCCCGGGAGCCTCCGGGTTACCTCTGCTCCCCAGCCTCACCCCGTCCCGGTGGGCAGGGAAATCGCACCCGGCCTCGCCTCCCCGCGGCTTCCCGGGCCCGGGCTGGGTCTGCCTCCCGCGCCACGGAACCCCCAAGTAAGCTCCGGGCTGGGCCCGGCTGGGCTCGGGAGTGCTCGGCTCGCTTTGCCGTCGCTTTGTGATTCGCCGGCGCCGAGTCCTCGCCCGCCCGGCAGGTCCCTCTCGGGGCTCACGGTTCGGGTCGCGGTCCCCGGTTCCGAGGCCCACGGTGCGATCGCGCGTCCCGGGTCGCTGGTGGCCCCGGCTGGGCGCGCCCTCCGGGCCCCGCAGGTGGCTTCGCCTCCACCCGCCCGCGACCCCGCTCCCCACGAGCCGCTCTCACCTGAGCCGGTCCGCCTGAGCCAGGTCCGCCCGGCCGGGGCAGAGTCGGGCCGATCCGATCCGATCCGGATCCCTATCCGATCCTGGCGCCGGCACCTGCGTGGCGCGCGGCTCCAGCGAACTCCTGGCCCGGAGGAGGAGCAGGGCGGCGCCGGAGGGGGGGGAGGACCCCAGCCCTCAGGGGGCGGGAGCCGGCGACGCTGAGGGGCCGCAGACACCCGCTCTGGACGCCTGTGAGCGGGGCACTCTGGGAGGCTGAAGCAGGAGCATCGCAAGTTGCAGCTCAGTCTGGGCAACTGAGCCACTCATGGAGACCCGTAGTAAGAAAGGAGGTGGGATGTACTGAGGGCAGAGGCCCCTGGTTCAATCCCGTGGACAGCCAAAAATTAATAATAATCAATAAATAAAAATGAATAGGACGACCACAGCATGGGGTCCCCCCCACCCCAGACCTCAGGCCCCTCCTGCAGCGGCGTGGGAAAGGATGAATGGGGAGGAAAGTGAGGTGGAGAGGCTCAGAAGCTGTGAGGAGAGTCTCCTGCCTTGCAGATGCTTCAGGAGGGCCTTGGCGCTCAGGGCGTCCGTCCATCCGTCCGTCCGTCCGTCCATGTGTCTGGTGCAGCTTTACTGAGGCCGACAGCTGGGCACTCTCTGTTTGGGCCCTCACTGAGCTTCTCCGCCATCTGTGGTAGCAAAGACAACCCAGAGATGCAAACCTCCAGGTTTTCCCCAACCTGAAAAGCAGAGGAAAGTCTCCATGGGGCAGAGGCAAGAATCGGAGCAGAGATTCTGGTTTGAACTAGGTACTCGTTTCCTGCTGTGTAACAGGTCGCCACGAACTTGGTGCTTAAAGCAACAGAGATGACCCCTTCCCCATCCGGAGGCTGGAAGTCGGAATCCTGGTCCTCGGGGCCCTCTGCACACTCCTCCCCTCCAATGCACCGGGATCTGAGGGATCCAGTCAGGAGCTCCGTGCAGCTCACATTCTGGGGAACAGGGCACTTCGGAGTCTCCTTCTCTCTGGCAATAAGCGTGGGGCTTGTCTTGGGCTTGCTGAAGAGCTAGAAAGGACCAATGAGTTCCAAAAGGATCGCTAAAAATCTGCTAGGTAATCACCACCACAGCGAAACACAGACAGAGGGGAAGAGTTAGAACCAGCACAGCAAAGCAGATTAACACCCTGACTCGCACAGGATTTCCTTGAATAGAGAAAAAGTATCCCTAAAAGGAAAACTTTGGTGTAAAAAAGAAATTAATGAGCTCACACTTACCTTCTCTTTGAAAGAAAAGTGAATGAATTGCCTATTTACACACGTACAGATCTCTCTGGGAAGCACCAAGCATGACTGAACTCACAATTGCTCAGAGTAGACAAAACATTTTATCCAGGTATTCTGGTTGTTGATTTAGCTATGCACTATAACAGACATCCAGAAAGGTTTGTGGTTGAATTGACTGTAGTTTTAACTAGAGTGGCACCTAACCCTGTTCATTGGCGCCCTGAATGTTTTCTGCAACATTTTTCCAATAAAATAATAATTTAAGATTATGTGTCCACCACACAAATTGGAAACATTTGCACTGCAGGCAGTGTGGAGGAGCACACGCATCTGGAGCCTGACGGCCTGAGTCTTTCTGCATACTTCCTGGGAGCCGCGAAGAAAGAACAAATCCCTTCCCCTTTGTTTCCTTTGCTTTCTTTTTTTGAAAAAGGGAGATGGTCGTAATCACCTCTAAATTATCATGAAAAGTAATTTTATATTAGAGTAGCACTAGTTATCTAGTAGTCTGTCACATCTCCTCATTCTTTACGCAGTTAGTCCTCATAACATCCCTAGAAAACCTTATGTAGCTATATTTTCACCATTTATCTTTCCCTTAATAGAAAGATCTTCAGACCATGATCACTACCAACCTTATGCCTCTTTCACTGATGCAGTGGTGAAGCAGTGCAAACTCCTACGCTCTGGTACTGTGTTCGCAGATTTTTAGGAGGAAAGCATATCAGGTATGTGGGGTGAGGCAGAGAAGGAAAAAGGCAACTTAGAGCCAGGGACGACAGTTTGCGCCAGTGCTTCTCACACTTCGCTAGGCACGTGAATCAGCATAGGAAGCTTTGAGACACAGGAATGGTGGTGCACGCTTGTAAACCCAGCACTCAGGAGGCTGAGGCAGGAGGATCGCTGTGAGTTTGAGACCAGCCTGGGCTCCACAGTGAGGTCGAGGCCAGCCTGAACTACATAGGGAGACCCTGTCTCCTGACCTGGGTGTGCAGGGGTGCGCCCTTGGAGTCTACATTTCTAACACGCTCCACAGTGATGTCAGTGCTGTGGGTCCTTCGCAGGGCTATAGACTATTTAATCAATACTGTTGCCACTTCCAGCAAAAAGAAATTTATGTTTAAGATACATGAAACTTTTTAAAGTTCTTGTAGGGGAATAGTTTTCACTTTGCAAGATGTAGCTGCTAATTGAAGAATTCTTGTCTTTAGCCAGTTATGTAGAGATAGTTCTGCCTTCATTCCTAGCATACCTCTGAGAATAAAGCCCTGTAAACCTGAGTATTAGGGGACAACACCTGTGTGGTACTGAGGAGGCAGCTTTGGGTAGTGGAGACGAGGGACAGCAAACTCTGTGGTGATTGGGTTTTGCCGTGTCCCCATGACTAGGATACAGCCCAGGTTATGCAACCATGAACCAATCTGGGAGCTAGGAGGCAGGAATATTTTAAAGATGCAACTAAAGTCCACCGCCACTTGGCTATAAATGAGAGGGGCTGTCCTCGATAATCAGGGCCGGCCTGGTTCAGTCAGGCCTCCAAGTCAGATGAAATACTTAGAAACAGCGCTGAGGCTTCCAGGAAAAAGAAGAAAAAGAACAGAATGGGGGCGGCTGGGGAGTGGCATGGAGGTGAGGGAGGAAGGAAAGAGATTTCCACATTCACACCTGCCACGACAGAGCCTGCCACTTGGTAGAACACCTGCGTCGTCACTAGTAGTGTTGGTAGAAGCATGAACATTCGAGTGGCTGCTTAGTCAGGACTCAGGAGGAACTGAGAACTGTGCTTCAGAAACTGGAGGAAAGATAGTATTTTCCATCTGGTGGCAGGAAGCTCAGCCCAATTGGGCCCTGCAGTTACAGGGAAAGCAGAACTTGTAAACAGTGTTATTGCTGAGGAGATTTCCAAACAGCGTAGAAGGTGCAGCCTGGCTTTTTGCTGCTTATCATGAAGTGTGAAAAAAGATAAATTATGAAATAATTGTTAGATTTGATTTTTTTGTAGAGTCCTCAACACATCTAGTTTCCAATAGATGCAAAATGCAAGAGATTCATTGTCAGGACAGCACATTGTAAACTGAGTGGCCAGCCAGTCTTTTCCTAATACCTCAGAAAAATTTAAAAGTCAAAGTATTCAGTCACACAAAAGGCTTTTGGAAGAGATTAAGTGGGTGATTTATAGAGCCTTCTAGCCATCCAGCAGAGGCCCCAAATAGAGATGCAATTATCTAGGGAAAAATCCATGCGTAAACCTTTTTCTCCTGAATGAATTTCTCTGACATGCGCAGAACAGCTACAGTGTTCTTCGGATATTTTTTACTGGTAGAAACACTTCCAGCTTGAAATGAAACAGATAAAATTACAGAATTAAAGGAAGCTCTCAGATACCCAAAATTCACTAGACAGGAAATAGGCTACTAAAACTGCTCAGTTTCAAACACAAATCACACCAAGAAAAAGAAAAGATTCTAAAGACCACTAAAGACCCGAGGGATACACAGCTCTGGAGATGGCTGGGCATGGTGGCACATGCTCGTAACCCCAGCTACCTGGAAGATTGTAGGTTGTCCCAGAAGATTGTAGGTTCAAAGCTAGCCGGGATAACTTAGCAAGACCTTGTCTCAAAAATATAAATAAATAAAAAAGAATAAAGACGTACTTCAGTGGTAAACCACTTGCCTAGGATATGTGAAAAAAGATATTAGGGAAATAAGACTGCATTTTAGTAACAACACCAAACAAAACTGGACAAAAGTCACTTTGGGAAGAAGTAGAATTGCTTCAAACAGTGGAAAGATGGCCAGGAAGCCACTGTGGTAACTATTCTATAACACTCCTGCACACCAAACTAACGCTGGTGACAGAAAGCAGAGGGAGCCAGATACAAATCCCAAGGACAGCTTTCCAGCTGTCATGGCCATTGAAGGTGGACTGCACTACCTGGGGAGGAAATGGGCTCTTCTCAGAGAACTGTTCATGGCCGTGCAACAGGATGTAGCGGGCAGCACCATGGCACAGGTGGGACTGGAGTAGTGATGGGTACGGCCCCACCACATCAGATAACCTATGAGCGGGGCTCCAGCTTCAGAGCAGGGACGTGAAGATGACCTGGACTACAGCGATGAGTTATCTAGTAAAAATGCTGCCTACTGTCCCGGGACAGTTGATCCACCAGCTATAGAATATGAACTGCTCTTCCTTCCAAAGGTGCTGGTTACTTCACTTGCTTTCTTTGCTTTATCTGTTCTCAATGGTATGGATAATAGATAGATAGATAGATAGATAGATAGATAGATAGATAGATAGATAGATAGATAGGCAGACAGATAGATGATATAGTGATACCTTATTTTCAAGGTGGTTGGGGTAAATTGCAAATCTGAAACAGGAAAATTAACTAATGCAGACTGTTACTTAAATACATCTACACAAGTCTTGACTTCAGCCAGCTCTGTTAAGCAAAAAGCCACTGGGTACCTTGACAACATGTGGCTGTATCTGCTCTGCTGTGACCTGCAGACTGATTGTGGGCAAATCCATGAGGTCCAGAGCACCAGTACCCTGCAGGAACTCTTAGTGCTGACAGTTCCGGGGGGACTTGGGGAAGTCTCCTTGGCTCTGACCAGCTTCGCATTCCCTATCCCATCAGTGATGTCAAAGAGATCTCGGACAAACCGGTAGAGGTGAACGGACATTACTATGAGCATCTAAAAACGGTGGGAGAGGGCCGGGATTTAGCTCAGTGGTTCCGGCGCCTGCCTCGCAAGCGCAAGGTCCCGAGTTCGATCACTGCTACCAAAAAAATAAATAAATAAAAGTGGTGGGAGATTACATAAATATTAAAATTCATGACAGTGATTTGAGACTACTTGGCTGATAAGACCCTAAAGCTTTGTGTTTGATATGATTTTGTATTGCTAACATTGCTTGGAAAAGGGGGATGGAGTAGCAAACTTTTGGTCTCTGAATAAGAAATGAGACTTTATGGAATGAATGCAAAATATTTAGAGCTAAGAATATAAAACTTTATGTGCGAATTTGTTATAGTAAAAAAATTAATCAATACAGGGCCGGGGATTTAGCTCAGTGGCTCCACCGCCTGCCTCGAAAGCGGAAGGTCCCGAGTTCGATCCCCAGTACCCACCCCC